TGATCTCTTCAGGGAGCCAGCTTTTATTTTCACTGACTTTTTTTTTTCTGATTTCAATTTTATTGATTTCTGCTCTTTATTATTTCTTTCTTTCTGCTTGCTTTGGGTTTAGTTTGCTCTTTTTTTCTTTTTCTTTTCTTTTTTTCTTCATGTGAGAATTTAGATGATTGATCTGAGACTTTTCTAATGTGAGCATTTAGTGCTAAAAATGTCCCTCACTGCAGCTTTAACTGTGTCCTGTGGTGTTTGATATGTTGCCTTTTCATTTTCACTCAGCTTAATGTACTTTTCCCTTGGATTCTCTTTGACCCATGGATTTAAAAGTGTGTCCTTTGATTTCCAATTGTTTGGAGTTTTTCTTGTTATATTTGTGTTATTAATTTCTGGTTTGACCCCACTGTGATTGGAGAAAGTACTTACTGTGAGTGATTTCACTTCTTCCCGTTTTGCCGAGGTTTGTTTCAGGGCCCAGGATGTGGTTGCCTCAGCCCGTGTGCTGCGGGCACTTGACGGGAGTCTGTGTTCTGTCTGCTCTTGTTGGATGGAGAATTCTAAACGCTGTAGAACTGCTGACCGATGGCAGTTTTGAATTCTGTAGTTTTGTGGATTTTTCTCTTTATTTGTCCAGTTATTAAGAAAGTAGAGTTGAATCTCCAACTGTAATTGTCGATAAGTCTATTTTTCCTTTCAGTTCTGTCAGTTTTTTGCTTCACATGTTTGCAGCCCTGTTGTTTAGTGCACAAATATTTAGGGTTGCTATGTCTTCTTGGTGGATTGATCCTTTTATCATTGTATTATGTTTCTCTCTGTTCTTGGTAATTTTGTGGCTCTGAAGACTAATTTATCTGCTATCACTATAGCCAATGCCACCTTCCTTTGATTAATGATATATCTTTTTCAGTTCTTTCACTCTGAACCTGCCTATAGTCTTCTATTTGAAGTGAGTTATCTATAGATAGCACATAGTTGACTCATGCGTTTTTAATCCACTCAGTCAATGTCTGTCTCATTGGTATATTAAGCCCATTTACATTTAATGTAATTATTGATATGTTAAGACTTAAATTTCCTTTTTTTGTTTTCTTTTTTTCTCTCTGTTCTTTTTTTTGGCATTCCTTTAGGTTACATTAACGCTTTTTAGCAATCCATTTTGATTTACTTACAGTGTTTTTGAGTGTCTTTCTCGGTAGACTTTTTGATGGTTAGTTTAGATATCACATTATCTATACATTCCTTAGCACAGTTGACTGGTCTTGTCATTTCACTGGTTTGAGTGGAGTATAGGGTCCTTACCTCCCTTTGGGACTCTCCCCCCCCCCCGTTTATTATAATTATTTTAAATATTTCCTCCACATACATTTAGATGCACCTCAGACAGCATTTTCACATTTGCTTCAACTATCAAACACAATTAGAAAACTGAAGCGAAGAAAATCCTGTCATATTTACCCATACCTTCCGCAGTTCACCTTCCGTGATGGTTTTTTTCCTTCCTGATGTTCTGAGGCTCCTCCTTGGATCATTTCCTTCCTATTTAGAGAAGTTTGTTTAGCGATTCCTTAGGGCAGGTCTGCTTGTAAAAATGCCCCCAATTTCCCCCCTTCATCTGAGAACGTCCTGATTTCCTTGTCTTCCTTAAAAGTATCTCTTGCTGGGTGTCTGGATTGGTAGATTTTTCAGGATTCTGTGTCGACAGCTTTTTTCTTGGAAATGTTGTGCAAGGGCCTGTGGCCCTGTGGTTTCTGATGAGAAATCCTCTGTCATTTGAATTGTGTTTCCTTCGTAGGTAAAGTGCCATTTTCCTCTGGCTGCGTTTAGTTTTTTCTGCCTTTAGTTCCCAGAAGTTTAATTATCATATGTGTTGAGGAGACTTAGGTTTATTCTGTTTGAGGTGCTCAGCTTCTGGAATCTTTAAATTTATATCACTTGCCAACATTGAGAAGTTTTCAGCCATTATTATTGTTACTGTTTTTTTGGTGCCTTTTCAGCCCAGCCTTCTTTCTCCTCTCTTACCAGGATTCTGAGAATGACATGAATGGTAGATCTTTTGTTACAGCCCCACGAGTTGTTGTTTTTTTTTCTTTCACACTATTTTCTCTCTGTTGTTGGAACTGGGTGATTTCTACGGTCTGTCTTCCTGATCGCTGATTCTTCCCTCCATCCCCGCCACCCTTCTACTGTGTGCATCCATTCGGCGGTTCATTTTTCAGTTAAAATATTTGCATTTGGTTCTTTGTATATTTATTTATTCACTGAGACTTTCTATTTCTTTGCTGAGGCCTCCTGTTTTTTTCGTTTGTTTCAGGTGTATTCATAATTGTTCGTTGCAGGATTTCTGTCATGGCTGCTTAGCAGTCTGTGTCAGGTGGTGCTAGCGCCTCCATCATCTCAGTGTTGGTGGCCACTGATTGTCTTTTTCCATTCAGTTCGAGATCTTCCTGGTTCTTGGGATGACGAGTGATTTTCTGATGAAACCTGAGCATTTTGTATTATATTACAAGACTCTGGATTTCATTTAAACCTTGTGTTTTAATTGGCTTTTTCTGGCACCGCTCTGCCAGGGTGTGGGGGTGCCTCTCTGCCACCGACAGGTGGAGGCAGACATTCGGGTTCCCCAGTGGGCTTCGTTGACACCTGTCTTTACTGCTGGGCATGGGGTGCACGGGGTTTCAACGCCCCACGTGGTCTCCACTAGCATGAGGTGGTGGTGGTGGGTAATCACCTCCACCCTGGCACCCACTCGGCCTGCTCCGGTGACACTGGCACGGTCAGGGGAGGGCGGGGCCTCCTTACAGCCTGTGAGGGGGGACATCCAGGTGTCCTCTGGGCCTTTATGGGCACAGGTGGGGCGAGACCGTGCTTTCCCTGTGGTGTTTGCGGAGGTAGAGCTGCTGTCATCTAAAATGTGCTGGGGCGCTCTGTCCTGGTCCTCACCTGTCCTCACCTGAGGACTGGGGCCTCACCTGTCCCCACTGGTGTTCCCGGGTCGCTGGCTGACTCAGCTCTGAGCCTGAGACACGAGAGCCCAGCAGCTGTCCTTCCTCGGGCCCAAGGTCCCTGCTGGTCTGGGATCTTCTCCCCACAGTCATGGCCTTCCGCTTGTTTAGTTTCTGGGGTTTTTAGTTGTACTTAGTGGGAGGAGTAGGGAAAAGCATGTCTTCTCCAAATTTCTGGAAGCAGATCCAATCTTCCCAGCGTTTTATTTCCTCCAATATGCCTTGGAGAGAAGCGATGGGGGGGGTACTAACACCCTGGATCTTTGCATTTCTTGTTTGTATAGCCGAGGGCCCCGTTGCTGCCTGCTCCCAGGAAAACACAGACATCTGGGCGGGGGGGGGGGGTTCAGGGATCCCCCCATACTGCCTACAGACCTCCTTTGTCAGTTGGCCAACGGATGTTCTGGAAAGACGGAGCCCTCCTCACGGCCCCAGAACTGACATAGCTGAGACGTCTGTGCTCTTTAGATAAAAAATATTACTGAAATCCTGTTATTTAAACTTTAAGAATGAATTTGTTTCATGGGGAGTTTTTTTGGCTCTTGATTTTGTTCTGCTTCAGGATAGATGTTCAGACCACCCTTTCAGGAATGGCATGGTAAAACGATGCTGATTTTCCAAATCCCCTGGGCAGGAAACGGTGCTTTCAGCTGAGAGCACTCCTGTTCATGGACCAATCACAGCCACATAAACGTACATGTCATACGGGAGGTTTTGTAGTTGCTTTTGGCAAATGGAACAGAGTTGCTTATTATTAAGAATGTTTCATCATAAAGTAAGGGTACCAGTGACTGTGGGTCTCCCTGCAGTGGCCCATTCTCTAACCGTTATTTTCCAAACCAGGCTGCTTAGAACAGGTCACCACGGGAGGCCGGCCATCCGGGAAATTTTCCCAACAGCATCCACTTTGGGTTATGCCATTGAGCCTTCTGAGATGTAGAACTGTGCCAACTGTTTGCATCCTGCCATTTGTAAATTTTAAAAAGTGCTCGGTTAGCATTTGAAACAAATACCCAAGTGTGTTCATGAGGGCAGCTTACATCTCCTGAGCCATTTTTTTTTTTCATTCTGCCCAGCAAGTTCTGGACCTCCCTACACCGCGCTCATGCTCACACACAAACAAGCACGGAGCCGTCCTGATTTGAAGATTTTGGTAATGTGTTTTTGTACAGGGCATAAAAATATATCTCTGTAATTACATGATATTTAGTGATTAGATAATTATGGATAATTGCATAGGGTAGTTCTAAGTGCTAAAGTGTTACCATAAGATCTAAAATGTACAAATTGCATAATAATTATTCTTGGGAGTTATTTGGTGATTCTGAGCATAATTATCATGTGATCCACAGTGCGTGTAATTAATGCATAATCACATGGATTTCGCCTTCATAACCACTTCACCCTTGTTATAAATAAAGCTCTTTGTCATAACATTTGAGTATAAATATAATGTAATTGGCTCCCAGATACAGTACATTAAGCCCCATGATAATTGCTTTCACAGTAACAATACCCCTTATTTCATTGCAAACGCGAGGCCGGGAAGTAGGATGGGGTTTGGACAACGAATCGCCGAGATACGGTGCCGAGCAGGCGAGAGCGGTTGAGGGTGGGACGTGCGCGCACGTGGCAGGGGAGGGAGGGAGGTCTTGGCCATGACCAGGACCTTTCACAAAGGAAGGTGCCAAAACCCTAAAGGAAGTGTTGCGTCCTTCACACTTGACAACATCTCTCGTCTACTGAAACGCGTTTACGGCCCCTTGCTGTCCAGCCAGCACCCACGAAGCCGAGTTTTTGTCGTGTCACAGAGCCCCCACCCTATTCCTGCTGTCATGTCTCAGACAGCTGGAACGTCTCTAAGCAGGAGACCGTTCCAGTGAAACGCAGGGAGGGGAGCCTGGCTTGTCAGCGGTGCTGAGGGGCAGCAGTTACTCATGACACTGAACAGGGCTTTCGCTCAACTTCCAAGCTAGTAACATGGTGTTTGCACCTTCCCCACAGGTTTCTCATGGCAGGATGACTATACCCAGCGCGTGGTGGCCCAGGAGCTCGCACACCTGCCCAGAACCTACCCGCGGCGTCCCGAGGCTGCCCACCCAGCTAGGTAAGTCAACTTGGTTCGGGCCTCCTTGCTGACGGCACAGCCAGCACCCATCAAGCCTATTTCTCTTTTACTGTAGCAAACCCCTGCTGTGTTGCTGGTGTAGAGGTTCCAGAAAGTTGGGGTGTCTCTGAGGAGGAGAGGGGTGCTTCCTCTCTCCATGTGTCCTAGCCCACGGGAGAGAGAGGCACCGTGGCAGTCCCCCTACGAGGTGCCTTTGTCACTGACGGGTGTGCAGAGGGGCCTTCCCCCAGTCTTCCCCAAGACCCTCGGAAAAGCCCTGCGTCTCCAGAACCTTGGTTGAAAGCAGAGAAGTTACGAATTCTCATTTCCCAGGAAGAATTCACATTTGCTTTAGTGCAAAAAGCAGAAGTAAATCATGAAAGTATCCTAGTTCCCCGAACACAGCAGCCAGTGCTGAGCTGAGTGGTTTCCTGACACCATCATCTGTCCCCTCCACACTGTCAGGTAATGACGGAGCCGAGGAGGAAAGGGAGACACGGAAACGTAACTCAGTGCGCAGACAACCCGCAACAGGCAGGTGGCCGTCTCACTGCTGAGCCGCTGTGCTGTGCTTTTTGTGTACTAGGGAGGAAAAGGACCCTCACGAAGGACTCGGTTTGGGAAGTGTGTTTTGCCCTGAGAGATGCTTCCAAATCCATAGTCCTTAGTTAGAAAAATCTCCGTAACACAGATTTAGTGTCTGCCTTTATGCTCATAACCTAATGGATGGAGTAGCTAAGCCACCAAGTTCATTTCCAGGCCCCACTGGATTGAGTGAAAACACGTAACTAAGTCCGTGTTCACCGTGTTAGCTCCTGCGGGCCAGAACGAATTTCCCGAGGGTAGGAAACATGTCTCTGGTCTCCTGTGCCCATCCCTCACCCCTAAAGCCTCCGTGTGAAAGACAGCGAGCCATTATAGTTTGAGTGTGTGTAAGACCTTTCTGTACCCACCCTGCCCACAACCCCCAAACCAAAGTCAGGCTGTCTTACATTTTCATTTTGGACGAGTTCAAACTTCCCGCCAGCCTTTAGATGACACATGGGCCTCTGAGCGCCGCCCGTCTCTCCTTCCATCTCAGAGGTTTGCCTGAGTGGGGCTGCCCAGGAGCCATGAGCTCCCCAAGAGCGGGGGGGGGGGATGGGTGGCCCCCAAAGTCAGAACGAGGGGTGGGAGGACTGGGGAAGCCAGGCAGGAGCAGCTCCTGTGTGGCCTGACAGGATGAACGGACTGGGAAGTGCGGCCGAGGTGGGAGGAAAGCGGAGTGTGTGTCAGCCACAGACAGCGTTTCCAGAGCGAGCGTGTGAGAAACCAGCCCCGGTGGGGCCGTGGGCAGAACCCTAGGTCACCACCTCTGACCAGTGTTGTAGGGTCATTTTTTAAAACTGCGAACTTATTATGAAAACGGTACCTTATATTTTTTTAATCACAAATGAGATTAAAGTTTAAAAATATACATGTTACAGATTGCGTTTTCTTCTATATGATATTCCTGGCCTCAGTCCACATGGAAGAATCTTTGTGCATTTGTTTTGTTTATTTCCATAAGAGCCTCATATTTTAGGCCAGTAACTTCACTTATAACACATTCATTTTGTAGAAACACTTTCCGGCCCTCACTGTAGATGAACCAGGTGCAGCTGCTCATGTAAACGGGGACTCAGCTCTCCCTGGGCCGGGGTCCACTTCCTGCCCTTGAGCATTTGAACCCAAATGAAACTGAACATTCCAGCTCCGAAATGAAAGCGGAACCCCCCCAACCCCCCCCCCCCGCGGGAGAGTGAGGTTGGGATGGCAGTGGGACCCTCGGTGCATGCCGGGCCTGCCCCACCCTGGCCCTCCTCCCACGGGGCCCCCTACGGTTGCTGAACTGCTTCTCTCCCACTCCCCTCCGTGGTTCTCCGTCCTGCGTGCCGTGTGAATAGCTCGCTCGTCGAACCACTCACGTGTCCCATTTCGGGGTGTCCTGCTTCCTGGGTGGGCTCTGCCTGACGGAGGGACTCGGCCACAGCAGCCTGCACCCCAGCTTTGTCTCTGCAGCAAGATGTTGAGGCTATATGATCGTCTCAGCGAAAACAGAATCGTTTTCCTTCTCTTAAAACTTCTGCACAACTTTTCTTTAGCGTTGAAATTTTCTTCTTCTCTGTATGTTTACATTGATTCTTCTTTATAGGGAAATCTCACAACACTTTCGTTGTCTTCCGAGATTATTGGTATACTACGGTCAGTTTTTATTGTGCGGATTTGGGGAATTTATATTTTCGTAGAGAACTATTTTTTCCTTGTAGTGCGATATGTAGTGTTGTGTTATGATCTTAAACATCACTCAGCATACGTGTGGTTATCAAACGTTTGTCATTGTAACTTGATTTTTCTCTTTACCCTTTTAGTACGATTTTTAAAAAAAGAATTATCTCTTGGTTTTCCCTCTTTCTACTATGCTTAGATTTATTTTTCTTTGTAAAACTTCTTGAGTTGAACATTTTGTTCATGCTTTCATTTATTCATTTAAAAAAGTAATCTCTTTAACTCTTTCATTAATCACATAAGTCTATGCATTCACTTTTGAGCAGTTTTGACATCATCCATTTGCTTTTGTTCTAATTTATCTGTAGTTATAATTTTGTATCCTTTGGGAATAATAAGTGTTTCATAGACTTTTTCTTTTTTTATATTATGTGTTGTTTCTAAATTTTAGTGTCATTTTACTACATTTCAGTCAGAGAATGTGAACCTGTTTAGTTTTCACTTGTCGAAAATACTGAGATTTTCTTTGTGGCCTAGTTTATATCATACTTTTATTAATTTTCGATGGATATCTCAGAAAGCTATTATACCCACTATTTTCAGGGTACAGATTTTAACATACAGTTTATAATTATATATATAATTTAAAATTATAGGTAAATGTAAATATCAATTTTATTACTCAAAATCAATATATCCGTGTTTATATTTTGACTTACTGAAATGTCTCAGAGAAAAACTGTTTTCATACATTTTCCTTCCACTGTTGATGTGCTTTGCTTCGTGCACTTTGAGGTTCCGACGAGCAGCACAGAATTGTGCATCCTCACGTCCATTCGTGTCGGTCACTGCCCCCACTGCTTTTCACGGGTGCCTTTGTCCCCTCTAATGCTTTTTCTCTTGGATCTCATTTTTCTACAGTTATTATAGTGTTGCCACTCCTGCCTTTTCTCTGTTCTTGCTGCCTGTTTAATCGGTGGCCATCCTTAAATTCCTCTGTTTGGACTTTTTCTGTTTCACATGCAGTTTTGTAAACAGTGTCCAGAGGCCCCTTTGGGCAGCCCCGTGAGGAGGTTTCCACAGCTGTGGGCCCTGTTTCCACTGCTTTGATTCATCTCCTCTGGGGACTATGATTGGTTTGCTTTTATCATCTTTAGTATTTGTATCTATATATCTTATTTTAAATTCAATTAGTAGCCATCACTTTTAGGTTACCCAGGGTTTTTGAAGTAACAGGTTTATCTCATTATTAATGAAAAGAGTCAGTATCTTCTGCCCCCACGTGAGCTAAGGCGCCTGTTATGCGTCCGCCTTTCTCCCCTTCCTCCCAACCCCCCTCTGAGCGCCCCCTCAGCAGCCTGTGTGTCCCCAGCGCCTGACATGTGCCCTTCACCAGGGAAACCATGGTCAACATTTGTTAACTACAGGAAAGAAGGAGGGAATGAATGCTCTACTGACGCCTGAATTATTACGTGAATAACTGCACTAGCCAAGAACCCTGTCCGACTCCCTCCTTCCACAGGGCAGTTCTAGAGTGTTCGGGACTGAGTGGATGTGAGTGTCCACAGTCGGCCAGTCAGCTAGTGCTTGGCCTTCTTCAGACCAGACAGCTAACATTTGGAGAGAGGGAACCCAAGCCAGGGATCCATTCAGGAGGCAGAGGTCAGTCAGAGTGCAGCGGTCAGGCTGCCCAGCCCTGTTCTCGGTCCTCAGAGGACGCGCTGTGTGCGAAAGCTTCACAGAGGCTCCACGTGGGAGCAAGCAGAGCAGCAGGACAGATGCCGAGTGTAGAGAACAGGACTGGGAGCCGAGCGGACGCGGAGGCCCCACGAACCTGAGGAAGCCGCCCGCCGAGGCTCTGCGAGCAGCAAGGGGTGAAGCACCAGCAGTTGATGAATAAACAACGTCATAGAAAATGGGGCCCGGAAACCTGGGGTCAGGGTGGCCGAGGTTTCTATGGAAGAGAAACGCGGCCCAAAATGATGACACGCAGGCTGGGATTATTGAGGAAAGGAACCGGGCTCGCTGTGTGCGCTTTACAAAGACTTCGTTTATAATTTGGATATTTTTTTGTCCAGCACGTTGGCTGACAACGCAAAGCATTTATGTTATTTGGGGTCTCAAGGTCGGTGCATGCAGTGCAAAGGAGAACAGTGCAAAGGAGGCCTGAGTGTAAACCATTTTTAATCATTTTCAAGTAGAAAATGTACACTTTAAAAGTTTTGACTTACTTCAAGCCAAATAAGAGGGCAAAAGTCAATTTGCAAGTTAATTGCTACAATATTGCAGAACATAATGATGAACGCTCTCATCACTGTAACATATTACAGTGTCACAAACAAATCCAACAGGCACACAGGAAGATGAATAAGACAATTTAAAGGCACATTTATGGGGCGGTGCCATCCACATTGATTAGCAATTAGTGAGAAAAATAGACAAAGTACCAGAAAAGTAAATTGACTTCAGTTACATTACGCTCTAACAACATAGGACATGAAATTTCATCCACTGAAAAATGGCCAAGGAAACTAGAGCCATGATTTGAGGTGCAAAGAACTGTGAAGCTCTTGATAATTTATATGCCTATTAAGAGCGAGCCAACATAACTTAGAAAGGCATTAGAAATAAAAACAGGAGTTTTATCAATTGGGATAATTAAACACAGATATGAAGATTTTCTGTAAGTCCTAGCTTTTATGAACTACGTACAGATCACACACCCAATGGCAGTGATCCGTTCTTGAAAATCAGACTTTCTCTATGAAACACTAGCTGGGAGCTCGTTGTCCGTTATGCTAAGTGGGAAATCTGCACTTAGTTACGCATCCCCCTGAAACCCCAGGGCATTTCCTAAAGTACGTCCACATCACAGTAAAGACCCGCATACAAGTAACAACCTGTCAGGTTTCGACATAAAATACTTAAACCATTGTTTCCTTTTCCTGATGACTAATGGTGAATATGGTTATTAGAAAATGAGCACTTTGTTTACAGTATCACAGCCTCACCCAGCACCTGCCACACACACACAAACCTACACACATATGTTGATACACACACAGAGACACACACATATATGCACACAGATGCACAGGCACACACACTACATATAGACACACACATACATGCACAGAGACACACGCAGACACACACACACACGTACTTATAGACACACACACACAGACACATGCAGACATGCAGACACACACATATGCACAGACACACGCAGACATACACACACACGCACGGGGATATCGCCACGTGGTCACTGCCAAATCCTCGTTCCTGAGAATGAAGAGTGTTTCCACGTCCGAAGCAGCGTTCTCACTGTGGGGCTGACACACGCGTCCAGCCAGCCTGCACTGAGAGGGCAGGTGGCCAGCAGGTAGCAGGCTGGTCATAAGTGCAGTGCTCACTGACGGCCCCCACCAGTCCTGCAGCACTTATGTCAAACAGGCCTGGCAGAGACTGAGTTGTATTTTTATATGATTCAAAAAGCTATTTCCTTCAAAAAGGAAACAAGACACTTTCCTTTCAGAGAAGTCCATATCTGCATCATTCCCGTTTCACCACAGTAATCAGCTGTGTTACCCTCACTTTCAGTGACAATAGGTGTTAGATTTCACAGAGATACATTTTCTGGGCTAGAAGAAGTGGCATTTAACGGGCGAGGAATGTGACGTGCTGGTGTTTTCAGCTAACTCTGCACTAACCCAGGATTTCATGGATGCATTCAAGTTCATTTATTCAGTCAACACATATTTTTTGGGTGCCTGTGAGTCAGGCTCTGTTGTAAATTTTGGGGTTGGTGCAGTGAATGAGAAAAATATAGGAAAATGTGGTCCTTTCTCTCAGGCAGCTTCCATTCTAGTGAAGGGATAGCTGGCAATAAAAAGTGCATGTTTAAATAAAGAAGGTAATTTCAGCTATTGTAGTAATAGTGTATAATATAGTATATAACAGTGTATAATATAGTATATTACTGTACAATATAGTATATAACAGTGTATAATATAGTATATTACTGTATAATATAGTATATAACAGTGTATAATGTATAATAGTGTATGATATAGTGTATAATAGTGTATAATGTATATAGTAGTGTATAATATAGCATAGAATAGTAATGAGTGCTAAAAGAAAGTAATTCAGGAGGGTCAAATTGTCAGTGAGTGGTGCATTCCTTGGGCTGGATGGGCGGGGGAGACAGCTCTGAGCCGAGGGGGAGCCGGGGGACGGGCGTCTTCGCAGCACCTGCTGGGTGCGCCTCGCTCTCCCAAGATCCCAGTGGGTGACAGTGGGAGCAGCACGTGCGGTGTGACAGCCTCTCCAGCCATCTACGCATGACTCCATGGTGGCTTAGATGGGAGGCTGCAGTGGGAACGGAGAGCCTGGATGGACACGTGTACACGTCTTAGGTCAGTCTGGATGTGCAGACAAAGGGAGGAGAAGGGCAGTGGTCACAGCGGGTCAGTGCACTCTTACAGGCCTGAGGCTCAGCACCTTGCCGGCTGGCGCTGCATCCACGTGGAGGTGGCTGTCCGTGGACATAACAGAGCTCTTGCTTACAGCACGACGCGAGCAGAAAGAACTTTCCAGCAAAATGGAACCTCGGGAAATCCGCAGCCTCTCCAGATGGCAAAAGATGCTAAAATTAGGAATTTATTGTCAAGAAAGTCTGCCCTGGAGCGAAAGCCCAGAGTGGGGCTGGACGACCTTTGCTGGACTTTCACGGGGGCTGAGAAGTCAGCGTGCTCAGCAGCACAGAGGGGCCTCGAGGACATGGGTGTCCTCGTTGGGTTTCCTTCCCCATGTAGGATGTATCCTGGCCCTTTGGGGATGGGGGTTTGTATAAAAGCAAAGGTGTGTCAGGCTGGGAAGCTCTGGGTCAGTGGCCCCCTCAGGTCCAGGCTGTGAGACGGCAGGCCCTTCGCCCTCGGCCGGAAGCCACGGCCACCGAGAGGACCGAGAGCATGTCTGGACAGCAGGCCAGATGCTGAGAGCGCCCTCCCCCACCGCGGGGCCAGATGAGCCCTGACATCTGCTTCCTGGCTCCTGTTACAGACTCATGGCCCTGACTTTCTGCGGGCTCTGGTGGCCACCAGGCCACTATCTCAGAGCCTTTTGTTCTGGCTACACTGAGCCAGGGACAAATGTCTCTCTTGCCTGGGCAACAAGAGGCTCTCTGGCAGACCTTGAGCCCAGACTGGGAGGCTGCAGCCGGTTACCCTTCATGCGTCTCCCCGGTCAGTCAGCCTGCCTTTCCGTGGCCTGTCCTCGCTGCCCTCGGCCCCGGCCCCGCCTCGGAGGTGCTCCAGGACACGCCACGTCCAGAGTCAGGACGGCACCCCTTCCTTCCCGCAGCCATGCAGGAAATGAATACAGCGTCGTCTTCTGTCCTCCCAGCTCCAAACGCCGCTCCCGGCACAGTCCGTGCACACAGGTGCTGGTCCCTAGAGAGCGTTTCATACATACTGTGACAAATCACCACAAATTTAGCAGCTTAAATTTTAAAATGCAGAATTTGCTTACATGACGGTCAAGTGCATTTAGTATGCAACACCCCCCCCCATACATGTGAGGGCCGTTCCCCCCTTTCCTGGCTCTAGAGGCCTCCCACTCTGTGGCCTGTGGACCCGTCCTGCTCCAAAGCTAAAGTCTTCCTCACGTGACATGAGCCTGACACTAACCCGCTGCCGCCTCATCCTCTTTTCAGGACCTTGTGGTCACACTGGGCCACCAGGAGAACCCAGGGTTGTCTCCCCATCTTAGGGTCATCTGATGAGCACCCTGAAGTTGTCTGCCACCTTGCTTCCCCTGTGCCAGGGGCCCCACACGTTCCCAGGTCCTGGGAGTCGAGACATGATGTCTTTGGGGACATTATTCTGTCACCACGAGCCCCAAACCGCTCACCAAGCGCCTTCCCGAGGCCACGACTCTAGCACCTCTGACCAGCTTTATAGGCGGGGGATTGCTGGGTTTGCGGGAGTCCCAAGCTGGCAGGTGGTAGGACCAGGGCAGGGCCTCAGGGCTCTTCCTACAGTGTGTGTCACTGCCCATCACTGGGGACAGCGGCGTCCACGTTTGCTTGTGACCTGCCCGCTGCTTGTGAAGTGCTCAGTTCTCAGCTCTGCAGCCCGACCTGCATCCAGTCCCACTTCCCCGGGCTCCTGCAGCCCCGCCAGGGCCAGACCCTCCCCCGACTTGCTCTTGGCCCTCTGCCCCTCACCCTGTTACCGAGGCCCCAGGCCACCCGCTCTGCTGCTCCCCCTGCCTCAGACTCTTGCTGCATTTGTCCTGAGTCCTGACTATTTCCACGTGCTCGTTTCTCTCCTGCCCTAGCACTCAGGGCTGCATGTCGAGAACGTATGTCCTCTCATCAGCCCTCACAGTGGCTCTGGACAGGCCTTCCGGCCCACCCTGCAGGTCAGGGCACAGGCTCGGGGTGCGTGAGCTCGAACCCGGGCAGTGGGAGTGAAGGAGGCTGGGGCCTGGCCACCTGCCCACGCGTCCCGGTCTGCCCCGCTCAGGCCGCCCTGCGTGCGTTTCCCGTGGTCCCGCAGTGGAGTCCGGCAGGGGCCAGGCAGCAAGGGGACACCCAGTGCGGGAGCAGCTGGTTCACAGTGTTCTTCACTTTTCAGGGGCCCGAAGAAGAGTGTTGAAGACGAAATGAGATACGGCCTGGAGGGAGATGGCGGGCGGGCCTCAGCCCTTGAGCGCTACCTGGAGGCCCTGTCCCAGGCCACTGCCCCCAACGTGCTGCCCAGGATGAAGCAGGACAGACCGCCAGCTCAGGTGACCTTCGTAGCTCGCTCTGTGATCTGGTTTATGTGTCACCTTCGTGTGTGGGGGGAGGGGTGCACACACGAACATTTCCTAAATCTTCCACTGGCATCGCTTGGATTTTGTTCCGTGACCCAGGCCGGTGGGCGGTTCGGCGTCAGGCAGGGGAGCACAGCTGTGTGGGTTTCATTTGCTTTGTGGCTCAGTGGAGAACCAGCATCTCCCCCAAGCCTCTCAAATGCTGGTGATTTTAGCTCTTACACATGGAAAATCATTCTTTGTCCTCCTCCTTGGGCCCCTGTGGTGTGGTTATCAAGAGGGACGTGAAGCCTCATGCTGTTGAATTTCTTCTGTAATGGAGACGACACATCTTGTCCCTGAGTGTTAGACACAAATAATCAATAAAGACGAACCCGTGTGCCGCCCAGAGACAGTTTCAGTAACAGAGGAGGGAGGGAACACGGCCGCTCAGAGCTCCACAGACTCAGGAGTTGGAGCAAAAGGGAATCTCTGAAATTCCTCTGTGGACCCGTTCAGCGGGCCCCTCTCCCCCTGCCCCCACGCCGGTGACATCAATGCACCAGCCTCATGCCTGGCACCCTCCTCTTGGCTCTGGAAGTGGAGGGGTCGGCACCAGCTCCAGGGCACGGCCTGGCTCAGACGAAGGCGCGTCGCCTGCAGAGCATGTGGTTTTGTGCAGGGGAGTCCTGAACCGTCATGTGTGTCTCTCGCTTTGGGGTATTTTACAACTTGAGCCTGGTGCCAAAATGGAAGAGTCAAATTTAGAATACGAGTTGCTCCCTGGACAGGAGTGGCATGGGATCCACCTGGAGGGCGTACTGAAGAGGCCCCCTCGATTCTCTGCCACACTCTCTGGCCGTTGCCCCCGACGCGAGGTGAAACAAGACACTCGGCATCAGAAGCCATGTGCAGCCACGACATCAGAAGCCACGTTGTAGGGATGTGGTGAGGTGGGGCTGTTCCCAAAACACCTTCCCTGTGTGGAGGAAAGTGTGATGGTGTCTTTGCAGGGGATATGCTTCCCTCCAGGAGGCTATGATTGGGGTATTGGATGGGCTGAGCTCTGGGGGTATGGGTCTGTAGCCTTGATGCCACCCTGGGGTCGCTGGGGTGCCCGGAAGAGGAATGGCACCCGTCACTGCCCACCTCCCCATCTGCTCTTCAGTTCAAGGCATAGAATGGGAGAAGGGGCTGGCACCAGCCTTACCATCGGCGACTACTTACCACCTTCTCTCCAGTTTGACTTCTGTGACTTGACACTTGCACCCGGTAGGCTGGTTGTCCACCACAGTCAGCCTGGACAGTGTGGCCTGGACAGTGTGGCTCATTGTCCCATCATGATTATGAATGAGCCATCTTTTCCTCTCAGAAATGTCCCAGTTGAAATAACGAATTCTGTGGTCATCCTACCATAAGGCCAATTCAGCATGACGACCACAAGGATTATGCAGAAAACGAGCACTTGGTGGCGTTTTTGGCTCAGGGATTTTTCTTCTATGTTAAGATTAATGTTTCCATTAAAATATTAAAAAGTACACGAAAACCTAAAACTCATTATTTTCTCTGTTCAATGTTCGAATGAGGAGAAAGTTCTTCATCATCTCGCTGATAAACAAAGACTCAATAGAGTACTAGAACGTCACCGAAGCTGCCACGCAGGTTTCTGCCACATAAACCCAGCCCCCCAGGGATGTGGGCTGTGTTTTCTGACCCCTCCCCTCTCAGCTGATGAAATACTTCTGTTGGAAATTTAAGCTTTGTACGCTGATGGTCTTTCAAGGTGCAACCAATTTCCAGTGAATTATGTTGTAGATCATCTTTTTCTCTGTACCTGTCATCAAAAATCTAACTCCAGCATGGAGTCAGAGAAATGTTGGGAATTTGTTATCTGTAGAGGCTTTAATACTGATTACTTTATGACAGCAGCCAGAGGGAGTAAAACCACATCACTGCCCCTAAATCAAACCCGTATGCTCAAAGCGCTGTGCATTAATTGAGCTCGTATTGATCACGAAATCAGTGCAGTTCATCCTGCATTGTTAGTGGTGGGAACAGCCCCCCCAGCTTTCATCGACCACAAAAGCGCTGGCTCAAAACCTGCAGTCATTAGAGAACCTGTAAATTCCCGCTTACTCTACGCTGTTCGGGAGGTTGAAACCTAAACCCATCGCTTGGCAACACTGTGAATTAGCTGATTTATTTTGGAAACATTGTTTTAAAGCATTTTTAATGTGCAAGAAGCTGTGGTAGGTGCCAGGATTGGAAAGATAAACGTTAATCCCTGCCCGCTAGGATTTTACAGCCTTACTGGGTAAGGGAGACAAAAACTGGAGTTAAAAATAGAGAAAGTGGTATAATAAGGGAGTTCCCAGAAGTGAGGAGACATTTGAACCCGACGGGCAGTGGGGTCAGGCATGGCTTTGCAGAGGACGGACATTGGAAAAACAACTAGAAACCAGCAGTTGAAGATGTTTAGATAAAATACAGACTATCAAGAGGCCACCCTGATAACACGGACAAGCCAGGTGAGCTATTGGGTTGTCGGAAAAGTCATGACGCATTTTTGCGATGAAAGACATAGAAAAAATATGTCACGACTTTTCTGACAACCTCATAGTAAATCTTCACTTAAAAAACAAAACCTTGGAGTGCTGAGGATACATAAATCTGAGTGAACGAAACTCAGAAAGTGATGGGCTCATTCTAGGGAGAGGCGAGCGTGGCTACTTTCACATGGAACAGCGGCGGGGACCCACCATGAGGGGACAGGAGAATGCAGCCTGAACCCCAGCATGTGCTGACAGTGCAGGGAGACCAACGTGAGGGGCAGAGTCCGCAGGGACAGGCCGACTGGGCACTCAGTCCACGAGGCAGTAGCTGGAGGATGGGGAGCGGGCTGCGAGAAGTCCTCCCGAGGAACGCCGGCTTTCTGAGCAACCTCCCAAGGCCTGGGGCAAGGCCATGAGGAGAGAGAGCCATCAATGGGGTGCAGAGGTGCACTGAACAGGGCGAGGGCATCCTCAGCAGCTCACAGATCAGCAGTGGGCTGTAGATCAGAGACACGGCTCCTGTGGTTCAGAAAACTGGCTTCTGCCTGCAAAGCAGAAGTGGTCCTCAGAGTCGCCCCGGAGCTCAGAGCCCAGCTCTGAGGAGGGAAAGGCTTCAGCATAACTGTCGCTGGGTCCGGCTAACTACAACAGGACCAGAACCCCTTTCACTCACAGATTGCACGGCCCAGTCCCCACATCAGCCGACTGATCGAAGGAGGGACACGCCATTTTCCAGCGGTGCTGTTATTTTCTTCATTCTCTATTCCTCTTTCATGCAAAATTCCCAGCATTCAGTCAAAAATTGGGGGACACGTGAAGGGACAAGAAAATGCGAACCTGGCCAAGCGAGGAAAGAGGCAGCAGAAGAAAACCCAGATGGGAATCAGTCATTGATACGATGAGAAAAGAACATTTTAACAATTAAGATAACCATATTAAAGGATTGAGTGGGAAAGGTGAAAAAACACAAATGAACAAATGGAAAGTTACAACAGAAAGATGGAGGCAATAAAAAACCAAATGGAAATGCTAGAAATGAGAGCAATAAGGCCAGAAATAGTGAACTTGTAATGATAGACTAGACACAGTAAAGGAATGAATCAGTGAATTTCAAGTCAGGTCAATAGGAATTCTGAAAACTGAAACATAAAGAACATAAAAGTAATGCAAAAAAAGAAACAAAACACCCAAGATATATGGGACTATATTAAATAGTCCAACATATGTGTAGTTGGAATCCTATTAGGAGATAAAGAGGGTGGGACAGAAGAAATATTTCAAGAAATACTGGCTGGCCTTTTCCCCAAGTTGATGAAAGTCATCAAAACATAGACCCAAGAAGCTTAATAAATGTCAAGCAGGATAAATACAGAGAAAACCAAATCTAGGATGTTATAATCAAACTGGGAAAAACCAAAGATACAGAGAATATCATGAAGGCATCCTGAGGGAAAGGAAGACACATTACATCATGGGGCATAATTTTAAGAATGAGTTCTTCTCGCTAGGAGACCAGAAGACAACGAAACAACATCTTTAAAGTACTGAAAAAAATTTGAAAAACCCTTCCAATTTAGAATTCTATATTGTTCAAAACGAGCTAAAATGGAGACGCTGTCCCTGGAACACCTGCACTACAGACATGCTACAATAAGCACTTCAGCTTAAAGATAAATTACATAGAAGCCCATAAAAAGTAATGCAAAGAACCAGAAATGGTAGATTTGCAAGTAAACATAAAAGATACATAAGATATGTAAAACTTCGATAAACACTACTGGATATTTAAAACAAAATAATAAAAGTGTATTGTGTGGTTTATAGCTTATATGTGACCGTAGCACAAAGAGTAAGTAGAAATACTGGAATTACGCTGTTGTAACTTTTTTGTTGATTTATGAAGTTTTACAATAGCATTTGAAGGCAGGGTGTGATAAATTAAAGACATACATTATAATTTTTACAGCAACCATTTTAAAAAATAAGCAAAACTAGGTATAACTAAAAGTCAATACAGAGATAAAGTGGAATGTACAATGGTTTATTTATCTATATGAAGGCAAGAAAGGAGGAGCAAAGACCACATGGGCTACACATAAAGCAAACATCAAGAAAGCAGACTTAACTCGGCCCATATTTGTGATATTGAATACAAATGGACTAAGCCCTTCAAATAAAAAACAGAGATGTTCAATCTTAATAAAAACAAAAAACAAATTTTAACATATCCTACTAAAGCCAAAGCACGTGAAATAGAAAGTTATATGTTTGAAAGTAAAGGTACCGGGAATAATTACAGCGGAAACTCTAAATATAAGAAAACTGGTGTGATTATGTTAATATTAATCAAAGTACACTTTAAGACAGCGTTATCAGAGATAAAGATGTTTTATGATGAGCAAATGGTCAATTCATTAGATGACATGGAAATCTTTTTATGAG